CCCTACCACTAGCAACAGCACACTGCTTGGATGGCTTTAGAGACTGATCAACTATTACACCAAGATCCCTTTCCATCATAACACTGTTAAGGTTATTCCCATCCAAATTATGATAATCCACATGCATTATCATGCATTTATTATAATTACAACCCATCTACCATATATTTGCCCAACTCACTAAATGATCTAAATCCTTTTGTACGTCAGCAGCATCCTCTTCACAGCTAACAACATTCAAGACCTTAATATCATCTGCAAATTTAAGTAATTTATTGACTATTCCTTCATCTATATCATTGATGTAAATCAAAAAGAGCAAAGGTCCTAAGACTGAGCCCAGAGGTACCCTACTTGTGACATTAATCCAGTTTGACTGAACTCCATTTGTAACAACCCTCTGCTTTCTTCCATCCAGCCACTCTTCTATCAAATTTGCCAACTTATTCTCCCACACCTATAGAGATCTTTTTCTTTTTTCTTTTTCTTTTTTTTTTACACGATGCCACATAAGTCTTTATTAATTTCTGAAAAGAAATGGAGGAGGGGATTTGGACCCCATAGATCTATGCCCACTTGTACAACATTAAAGAATAGTTATTAGTCCCTGGAAAAAATTGAAGGTTCCAGACTCCATTCTCATAGATCTGTGCCTATTTATACAGTATTAAATACATTCAAAATATGTATTCAATAATTTCTCAATTTTTGGTTTAACAAATGTGTAAATAATTATTTTTTTATTATTTTAGCCTTCATATTTTTTACTTTATCAATTAATAATAATAATAATAAAAGTTGTAGGGAGGGGTTGGTCTCTGTACCCCTCATCTAGTTCCATAACTTCTTATACAACATTAAGAAATAGTAATTAATTCCTGCAAAAATTAGTGTATGGACCCCTTATACTCTCATCCTCCATATTTATGCCTGTGTATACAGCATTAAAGAATACAGTTAAGCAATTATAAATTAGAAAAATATAACAATGTAAAAAAAATATATATATATTTTGTTTAACACTCAAGGTACCAGAGAGAAGGTGGTGAGAGCTGCCAGCCAGTTGCCTTCCCTGTATTGCAAATTTAATGACATTGGCCTTAGTAGCTTTGCAATAATAAAAACGGGGCAAGCAAGTTTAGTGTTAATGAGGATTGAAACAGATACCCTTCACCCCCACATCATGTAGCTTTGTGCTTAACAACAAAGAAACATAATGGCAATATTCTAATTACTTAAATAGTTTAAGTAATTTAAAATGGTAACTGGAAACTTTAATTTTGATTAGTTGATTATTTTGGTGACAATTGATGTAATCACAATTTTGATTGATCATTTGCTTGAATAATTGGAAGTGCCACTTTTGATTAGTTGATTATTTTTGTCACATTAACCATTTAAATTGCACAGCTCTTGTTAAAATATGGAAGTAGCACTTTTTTTTTATTGAACAGTTTAGAATATCTGATCAAAAAAAGCATTTACAGAATAATTTTATTTAATATTAATGGTAGTCTTTTATTTCTTTATCATATCTTAGTTTCTTTTACTAACCCATAATTTAACATAGTAGTTTGTTTTTAAAGCATTAAATATTAGCTCATAAAATACAATGTACATGTATGAAATGAACGTAGCATCTTTACTGAACATAGTACAATCCAGGTTTTGTGAGACTAGGATTTGCAATAGATGGGGCAAAAGTTTGTGATTAGCCACGTACATCGCAGTTGTTTTTTTGTTTATACTACAATTGCCCTTAGTCTTTTCATTAGAATTGAATTTATTAAAACTGATCATGTAAAAAAGAAACTGATTATTTTTTTGTTAAAATTATTATAAGGTGAAATGTAATGAAAAATTAATACAGATAAATTAAAAGACTGTTTTCACCTAATTTTTAGATGAGAAAGTTCTAGAAGTTTTTACTTACGAGGTTTTTTTTTCTTTTCATTGCAGAAATGTATAGACATTCTTATAGAGAAAGAGTATTTAGAGAGGACAGAAGGACAAAAGGATACATACAGCTATCTAGCTTAATCAGTGGACACAACAGGATTGATTAACTTGTGCCCTAGGTAGCTACACTGCTTCAAGTTGCTGTGTGCAGACAGCAACTTGTGTCCTTTGTGCCTGTAACATGAGTATGACAGTTGAGGTGAAACAGGCAGAAAATGTTGTAAATACATTCTAGCTTCTGGACAGTTGTTGGAGACTTGTTAATATTCTTTTGCTTGTTTTTGATGCTCCTCAACATTTGAGAACTTTTTCTGTACAGTTTTATTTCTTAGTTTTATGCTGTAAGAATCATTGGGACATCATTTTTAGGATGGGTCTATTAAAGCTTAATAAAATATTGACTAATATTTGTTTCCAAAAAAAAAAGTATTTAGTTGTTTTTTTCTTTGCGTGTGCATGTTCATTTTCTGTGAAAATTGTTAATGGTTTAAAATTTATTTATATTCAAACTACTTATTTCAAATTGCTTTCAACATTCTTTTTATAAGAAGAGAAGACTAAAAAACATGATGGTATAATTGAGTGATATACGTTTTTGTTGGAAAAGGTGGGGTTAGAATTTCATGCTATATCACCAGGATCTGAAATAACATGGTGTATCAATATATATGGAACTGAAGTAATGACTATGTTGAAATAGATAGCTGTTTTGTGAATCCTTTAACATAGCATTTGAATAAGTTGTATTTAAAAACTTGAAAACTGTTATATTTATAGTTACACACTGAGTGAGAGCAAATAGTGTAAATGGGTATATTGATCTTCCTTATTGCAAACGTTACTACAATTAAGTCAGAGTTCTGTATACATCTAATAAGTTTTGTAGAGCCAGAAAGGCATTAATTTTTTTTGTTAAGAATTTTGGTGTCAAAATGACATCACTCTTGGTTAGCCAATACAAGTAATCTTTGTAACACTTAATATCTTCATGACCATTAAGTATAATTTTTTCCATTAATGCCCCTTGGTTTTGTTGTGGTTAGGATATTGTAAGATTATGTTTCTCACCCAAAATATTGAACACAATATGATATATATTACCTTGTAATCAGTGAGAGACTTAAAAATTGTAGCTCTAGTGTAGCTAGGTTAATAATTACAATTAATAATTGTATGACTAAATATTACTTTCAAAACACTTATTGATGCCATAGAAACAGTATTTGTTTTTGCAAGAGCTAATTAGCAAACTAATTGAATAGTAAAACTGTATAAACAAGGTTATTGCACTAAATCTGAGTTCATTTAACAGTGCTTTTTTTTTTCTTTTACGTAAATGGGAGGGAGATTTAAAGTTTAATTATTGATACACAAATTTATAAACTCAAATTGGTTTATGCCTTTTGTGTTTGGTAGCTGCCGTTAAGTTCAACAATAGTGTCCTTGAAATGTATGGTGACTAATGTTTTATTAATATAAAGACGTTTTGTAACATGTTAGATACTGTGGAATGTACATTTATAAGTACAGCCAAGTTAAGTCTAAACATTGTTGAACTAAGTTGCCTGTATATTGATACATGAAACAAATATTCGTTGGTATGCTGAATTACTAAACACACACACACACACAAATAACTCCCAAGTTGTTCGTAATTTTTTTATAATAGTTTAAAAGTATCACACAAGTGTTATTTATATCAGTGAGATTCAAAGTACATCAAACAAACTTGTACTCTCTACCCAAATAAATTTTAACGTAGGCACGTGCTTTTACCAGAAATCAACCCAGTGTGTTACAAACTAAAAATACAGAGCATGCCCATGACAAATATGCACTGGTAGTAGGTTGCAACTTTCACACCATTACGTTAATTATGGCAAGTATTTTTTTTTAATACATGCAAAGGTGGGGATGGGAGTGTAAGGACTTTGATCCCCTGGAAGCTCCAGGGTTTTGGGCTTTAATTATCTGTAACTTTATAATAAAAAAAAGTTCAGTGACTATCAGTTTTTGTTTTGTTTTCTTAAGTATCTTTTATTATTATTTTGCAGCATTGAACTATTCGGAGGTGCACGATGATGTGCGTAATACCGAAGTTAGGTATGAGGGTTGGTATTTCCTGAACCACTATAAGCCAATAGAGAATTGAGAAAATAATGGCTGCTGATGTTAGCTTCTGTAGTAGTTTGCTTATAGATTAATAGTGTAGGTCTTGGAATTATCATTTGCACAACTTGAGACTTCTTGGCTTTTTCGTTACGATTTTAAAAATCTCGTGATTTAGAAAGTATCTTAAAAACAAAGTTGAGGAGAAACGGCCGTTTGTTTTTTTAAATTCAGAACGTTGGTTATGATAAATATTGCAACTGAAAATTGGAATCCAACATGAAAAATACAACCATATGTAGATTCTGCAGTGTTATTACGCAAATAAAACTTCAAAAACGGTGTTACATAGTGTTCGAAACTTTACAAAAGTTGTCTACAACCATTCCCTACTCAAATTTTGTTGTTTTGTACTCAATGTAGTATTTCAGAATTAAAAGATATCGGGTAACACTGATAAAAATGTTTATTAAAAACTATGCCGTGGACGTTCTAGTGATGCATTATTGTTTGTTTAGATAATTTGTGTTAATAAAATAAAGCCAAGTAAAATATATAGTTTTACTGTATTCTAATTTTGAAATAAGCCATAATACTGCTGACAGAAGCTTTTCATATTTTTGTAAATAAAAGAGTTAAAATCTTAGAACAATATGCGCAGCACGTTAAAATAGAACAATGAATGATGATGATGATGTTTATTCGAACAAAGGTAAAATGTGACGTCCATGGATTTACTAACTTTGGTTTAAACGATTTTGGAGACCATATATCTTCATTTAATGAAGATGATTCTCTTCTGAAAGTGAATTCTGAAATACTTAACAGTAATTTTTTTGAAGTTCCATAAAATAACACTTTGATCTCTGCACTTATCTAATGTAGGCCTGAGGCCGAAACGTCGCTAAATAAATTGTTTATAAGAACAGATGAGAACTGTATATTTTTATTTGTGTATTTATTGTAAAAATTGTGGTCAGTACGACTGACTATCTGTTCGTTAACTTTGACGTGAAAGGGATTGTTTGTTTTGAATTTCGCGCAAAGCTACATGAGGACTATCTGCGCTAGCCGTCCCTAATTTAGCAGTGTAAGATTAGAGGGAAGGCAGCTAGTCATCACCACCCACCGCTAACTCTTGGGCTACTCTTTTACCAACGAATAGTGGGGTTGACCGTCTCATTATAACGCCCCCACGGCTGAAAGGGCGAGCATGTTTGGTGGGACGGGGATTCGAACCCGCGACCCTAACCGGGCCGGGCCGACGTGAAAGGGATTGTTACTTATTTTCTAACAGTTCAATATTCTTTTGTTTGTTTTTTTTGGGGGGGGGAATATGCTTTTTCCTATGTTGTGCTTCTGTGCAATGTATCATATAATTGAAGCTAAACAATTAGATCTTTCAATAATAAGTAGAAAAACAAAATTTCACGAAGGAAATATCTGTAAATCTGTATTGACGTTATTTGCAAAGTGATATCTATGAATTCTTAATATTACCATTAACCGCCATCACTACTACTAAAGACTGCATTTATTTTCTGAGTAGGAGCTCAAAAACGAATGTTAGTATGTTTATAAATACATATATCAGTTGTGAGTTAACGGTCTGTACCTCATTTATAGTAGTAAAAGCTTGAACTTGAGTAAAGAAAACAAATAAAATATTAGACTCTCATACTTACATCTGTATGTTTATAATGTGTTTATATAACCGTAAGATTTTTTTTTATCCGTTTTAACTTGCACAGTCAAAAAAGGTAGAACATTATTCGAAATCAACTTGTGTTTTACCAGTAACGAGAGGAAAGTGCGCGGCCTTGATGGAGCACAGAATTCATCGACTTCTTTTTCATGTATACAGTCCTTTTTAATGTTCAGTATACACTATCTTTATTAACATGGTCTGTAACTGTTTATCGCTTATGAACAATGAAATATTCTACCATTATGATAAAGTTTCCGATCCTGAGAGGGTGAGTTGTATTGATAGTAACAGTTAAACTTGGAAATTGGCAAAAAAAGAAAAAATAGATAAAGTAAACCGTATGAAATAAAAGTTTACGTTTCGTAATAATATAAACCTGTCCGAAAGCAACAGAAACTATAAATATATTTGATTTATGAATGTACATAATTTTATGTAGAAGAAACTAGTATTTTATAAAGCATGAAATTAAAAACAATTTTGATTTATTATACGATCAACAATTACAGATATGGTATTTAGAGTAGTGTGGTTACATAAAAGTGTTCCAATTTAAACACGTTCCTTAAAAGTAGCTAGTTTTTATGCAATTTTATATTTTCCATCAAGAATAGTTCTGTGCCCTTAGTGATAAGTTCGAGGTCTTGCAACACTAATAAAATTCAACGTTAAAATCACGAATAATATTCAACGTTAAACTG